CTTGTTAAAACATTCATTCCTGGGTCTGCCTTCATCCCAGCTTTCTGATTCAGCAGGTGTGGGCCACATGGGCTGAGAATTTGCATTGCCAACAAGATCCCAGGTGTGGCTGGTACCGTTACTTTGGAAATCACTTGTTCCGACTTTGTTTTTCGAGAACACAAGAAAACACAGTCGGGCTGAACATGGCATCATCTGGGGACTCCTCAGACTCTGTGGTTGCCCAGCTTCACCCCAGGCTTTGTGGATCTTTGTAGAGTGTGGCTCAGGTAACATTTCAAAAAATCCTCAAGGGATTCCAAGATGCATCCAGAACCAATTTGAACATGGGAGTCAAAATTCCATTTGGGTAGATGCACAACTCTGGCTCAGATATTTGGAGTTTTAGCACATCATGTCTTTAGACATAGTTTCCTCTGATGTTTTATTAACAAACAAAAACCTATAGCCAAAGGCCCAGCTCAACGCTACATCCGTCATAAGTGTAGCCACATTGCCTTCCTGCTCAGCCAAAGTAATTATTCCTCTGTGCATGTCCAGTGCTCAGTCCCTCTCTATCAGCCCTTATTTCATTCTGTTTTTCTCTTAAGATTTACTTGTTTCTATATCTCTGTCCTCCTTCCCACCAGGCTGTGAGTTCCCCAAGGGCAGGGCCTGATCTTAATTCACTTTATGATTTCCCCAAAGAGCCTAGCTCAGTGTTGATTCAGGTGAGCCTCGTTTTAGTTTCTATTGGAAAGAAATAAAATTCAGTTGCATTTGGTCCTTGACAATCTCTGGTCATATGTTGAATACATCTTTGCCACAATAAAATGGAAAATTGTGAACAAAGTGCTAACGAACAATACCCCCTGAATGGACATGTGAATGCAGGTCTAATTTATGTGGAGCTGGGTTTCAAAACCTTATTTTGGGGTCTAGCTGCACCTCACTCACTGTTAACCTGAGATCATGAGCCCTGCATGTGTTGACAGTAACCAAAGCCACTCAGAATAACTCCACCGGGATATTTAGCAAATTATTTTTAATCTGGTGGGTAAACTCGCATTAGTACAGCTGTTCATGTCAAAGAGAAGGGAACAGTGCGAGGGGTGTCTGGGCGCCTGCTGGGCTTTGCTTCATGAAAGAAGGCTTGTTATCTTGCGTTCTGTCTCCAGCAGTGCTATTTCTGCTGGGGTAAGCTGTCACCGACTTGTCGCCGGTGGCAATTTAGAAATATAGCTCGAAGAACAGGGAGCTATCCTAATGCCGTTGGAAGGCTCCTACGTGGGGCCGTTTCCCACATGAAGCAGGATCCTGGCCCCGAGCTTGTTTTCCCGTTGCATGTTCGAGGCAGGCTGCCCGGACAGCCACCTCTTTATTGCACTCTTTCTTCTGTATGGTAGAGCATCAGCTGCCACAGTCACTGGCCAGTTGGATTGGGACTTTCATTTTGTAGCAGGGTGGCTAGAAGGAGGTCTTCTAGGATCAGAAGCCATAATAACTGGTCCCTCGCTGAAAATGGGCTGCCCCAGGCTCTCTCGAGCCAATCTCCTCACCAATCAGCCCTGAGCTCAAATGTTACCCCCTTGGAGAGAAACTTCTGGACCACCTGTCTAAAGCAGCCTCCTCCGAGTTGCTCTTTCACTATCAGCCACATGAGGGAGCCATTGAGGACATCTGGCTCAGTCAAGCCTGCAGATGACTTGGGGCAAGGGGACATCTGACTGCAAGGACAATTCCAGGTGAGAACCTCCCACCTGAGCCTGGGCAACTCAACCCAAAGACTTGTTGAGAGCTGTTGTTGCAAGTCATTTTATCACCCCCAAGAGGAAGTCATTCCGATGCCCTCGAGAGAGGACATAATGGAGAAGCCAAATAGTCCCCACAACAATGCCGTGGGGTCCTAGCATCCCCATTTCACGGGCAGTCAGCTGAGGTTCCAAGGGGGGAGACATCCACCAGGGACCGGATTCCCAGCTGGTGGGAAGGCACGAAGCCTGAGCCCACAGCCTCCACCTTCCTGAGGCTTCTGCTCCTGTGGCTCCCCAGCTGTGCTTCTGCCTTTCACCCCGTAAGGACCCTTCCTTCCCCCAGAGCTCCGCTCTCCCCAGGCGAGGACCAGGGCTAACATTTTGTAAGCAAAGAACAGTGCTGGGCAAAGATAAATTCCAGATGGAGCAGAGAGCTAAACAAACAAGAAAACGAGAATAGAATAATATTTGCAGAAAATACAGGAGAGTATTTTTGTCATCTTGGGGGAGCACAAGCCTTCTTCAGCAAGTCATAAAACCCAGATGCTATAAAGGACAAGGCTGGCATCCTCCACTGCATAAAAACAGAAAGACCCAGACTGACAAAAAGCACCATAAATGAAGTACAAAAAACAAAGAACCAAGATACTCAAAATATTCAATGAGAAAAAGTAGATGCTAATTTTAAAACTAGGTGAAGGGTATGGCTCAGACAATTGACAGAAGACAGGTCGTCATTGCCAATCAGCTTGCAAAAAGGTACTTTGCCATTTCCCTATGGTTAGAGAAAGGCCAACTAAAGCAGAGATGCTATTAGAAATTTAGACTGACAGTTTTCCAAAAATGGATATTAAATGGTGGTGAGGATGCAGGGGGAAAAGCACCCTCAGACCTGCCTGGGATTTGAAAGTGGGTGTTGGTACCCATGAAGTGCTTGGAGTTTTTAAGCAGGTGAAGCTCTCCCACTGATCTTCCAGAACCTGGTCCTTCAGTGCAGTGGCCACTTGCTCCATGTGGCTATGGGGCATTGTAATGTGGCTGTCTGGGCTGAGATGCTCTGTAGGTGTGAAATCCACACCTGACTGAGGAGGATTTTAAAGGCGACCCTCATGATGTTTTCATGTTGATCACAGGTTGAAAGGGCAATATTTTGGACACAAATCAACTAAAATATTATTAAAACCAATCTCACCAGTCTTTTGCTTGTTTCAATGTGGCTACTAGAAAATTTAGAATTGCATATGTGTCATGCATGTAGTTTTAGTGGGCAGAGCTGTTCTAGAAAATGGATGAACGAACACTTTTTGTGGGCCATGAAGAGGCTTGGGCAGGGTCTGACTTCCCCCAATCCTTTATTAAAGGGGCCACCAAAACTAAGTGTTTCCAACTTCCCATCCTGGAATGAGGGTGAGGAGGGGCTGGAGGAGTTGAGGTTGGCTTCTGATTGTTGAGCTGGAGATTGGGCACAACCTGACCCCTCCTGGCCTCAGTTTTCTCCTTGTATGTGACATGGAGGAGTGAGGTCCCCTCCAAGGTCTGCTGCCACAAGAGAGGGGGATGGGATGCTTGCCTGGCTCTCCATTAGCGTGCTGGATAGAGGGTGCTCCTACGACATCCATTCATGGCCTCTCCATGAGGTAGATGGACAGACTTACAGGACTTAGGCTTTGCCTCTGTGGTGGGTGGCATTTGAGGGACAGCTGCTAAGCAGAGCTAGAAGAGCACAGGGTACAGGAAGCCAGGAGTCCTGCAGCCCTGCTCCCAACCAAGCCTCCAAGGCCAGGTGGGTTCCATTTACCTGAGCCCAATGGTGTGTTGAGTCAGTTGGAAGAGGGAGAGTGGGGACAGTGTTAGAATGAGTTGGAGTGGTCACCAAGGTTGGATTTCTGCTCTTCCCTTTCACGGACGTGGAGAGCTTCCCTCATAATTACTTGCTTCTTCCAGTCTGGCAAACTTTCAGAGAACTGTTTTTTTGGTGGGGGTATGGGGGGCACTACTTCCTGCTGATTCCTATTTGCCTGAATTAGACATGGCATCCAATGTTGAAGAAGGAACACCTCCCCATGCCCTCTAATAATAGCCACCCGACCAAAGCAGCTCTTTGGTTTTTCCTGCCTAGGCAGGATAGAAGACAGGTAGGATAGGCAGAAGGGACACTCACAGGGAAGGGAAGGACACGATGACTATAAAGCTCAGCAGTTGCACGGGCTTGCACTCTACTCCCAAGCCTGTGTCCCTCCAGCTCTGAATTCTTAAGAGACCGTTGAATCTCGGAGAATCACGAGTTTAGGTGACAAATGCCTATGCACATCGCTAGTTTATACAATCTATTTTTCTTGAGACAAAATAAAGCAAAGGGAACTTATTGTAAGAGACCTATGATGTGGGTATGTTCCAGATGTTATTTCTTGACTGGGTGATGTCAACCTAGAGACCTTGAGAGAATCAGGCCACTGTGACCCACCCTGAATCCCACAATTAAGAGCTGAACCCTCCTGGTGCCCATCATGCCCATGCACTTCCTGTGTTCCCAATTTACAAAGACCCCTTTAAAAACAAGAGCCCAGGACCCCACAGTGCATCTCACTCTCGAACGCTGGCGCCCCTTCCCCCTTTGAGTGCGTGTCCTGCTCTATTGTGGCTTTCCTGAATCAATTTCTTTGCTTTTCAAAAATAAATGTTTGTGACTCCTCTGATAATTCCCGAAAATCTTTTTTGTGACTTAAGTCAAGAACCTGCCAGGGCTGAGTCAAAGTCCCCTTCTCCCTTCTGGGACACCTCCTTGGTGCCTTCCCAGTGACACTATCGTGTAGAAGTCCGAGGGAAGGGCTAGTACAGAGCTCTGCAGCCATCAGGATCCTAGGCTCCTCCTGCCTTCCTGCTCTGCCATCATCAGTGAATGGCTTCCTCCTCCAGGTCGCCTCTGCTCCAGATCACTGTTGGAGCCCCAGCCACCACATCAAGTATTCATGCAGGGAAAAGAGGAAGAGAGAAGAAGAAAAAAATCAGCAGCTTTTTTTATTTCCTCAAAAATCACATCCAGAAAATTCTGCTGATATTTCACTGACTGGAATTTAGTCAGGAGCAAAAGGGGGCTGGGCAGTGTCGTTGTCTAGCTGGGTGAGTGAACCGGGGGTTCTGTTTTCTAAGAATGGGTGAAGAGGCCTTGGTAGGCAAGCCTCCCTTTTCGCCACCCTCTGTATGGAGTCAAAGCCTTGGACACTTCACATGGGGGAGCTCATTCTGTTTCTTCTTCCTGCATCACAGGCCTGGCTCACAAGGATGGGAAGACATGGAGAGATGGCCATTCCACTCCCTGGACTCATCTGCCCTGACTTGGATGACCGACTCCTGACCCAGCCGGGCTTCCTGCATCTGGGCTCAGCTTTCGGAGGCCCAGCCTCCGAAAAAGGACACAGCCGCCAGGACCTGCCTCAGCTCCCCAGGTGGCCGGGCGCTTTCCATCCAGCTGGAAGATGCTGGTGCCCTAGGGCAGGGCTGCAGCCTGTGGCAGATCTGCACACCCGTGGCCCACAGATCTGCTTTCGCCCACACTCCCAGGGCCTCTTTCCATGCATCCTCTGACTGACTGACTCTTTCTCTTATATAAACACACACATCAAGGGAAGGAAACCTTTAGTGTTACCGTGTTTTAACCTGGAACAGGTTAAACAGGTAAACGTCTTCTCCTGCGGTCTGGAGGAATGTGGGGGACAGCACCTGTGAGTGGCGGGCTGGGGCGGGGGTCAGTGTCCTTCATTCTTCCTGCTGGGCAAGCTCACAAGTCAAATATTGGGTCTAATTTTTAAAGCCATTTTCGTGACAGTGGTTTTCCATTTAATCCCCAGAGCTAACAATCTGTGATCAGTTTCCCTGAACAAATGCCCTCCTTTAACTTCATTAGCTCGTAATTAATTTGCTAGCATGTGTCCAAGATAATTAACACTCCTGATTAGAGACAGGCAAAGGAGGGACTTCCTTTTTCGTGGTCAATACAAACATTGATTAAAATCTGAACTGTTTCCTAATTCTCCTTACAATTTAATTCAGTGAAAGTGGCGATCGGTAATTTGTGGTGGTTGTTTAAAACATTAAATTGGAGGTGAGACAAATGGGTCTTGCTATCAAGTACTTTATTACCAATTTATGTATTGGGTAATTTTGCTTCTTTTCCTCAGATACAAAGATACGAAGCAGGAGAATCAAGCTTTTGATTCTTTGGTTTTGTTTAATGGAGACGTGACTTGGAGGCACCAGGCTGGACTGGTGCGGGGAGGAGAGACTCAGTCTAAGATGAGGTATCATGAGCATCCTCTTGAGTGACCCAGCTCATTGTACTCTACAGTCTTTTTGTTCTCTGGTCTTGTTTGGTCCCCATAGCTCTGTGATGGGGGTGGTGGGGAGGGACAGACCTCATGAGACTTTCAGATGAGAACACAGCCCCAGAGAAGCGTGGGCAGTTTCAATGAGTGTTATGGATGCCCAGATGGCGCTCCCTGCAGGCTGAGTCCTGCTTCTCCCTGGTGGTCCTGGAGGCTGATACCAATGTCAGGTGATTCAGGGCTTCTTGCCTTTCTCCAGGTCACCTGCACACATTCTTAGGGCAGGATTGCTACTAGGTTGAGGTAAGCAAGTTGCCTAAAGCACAGAATGAAGGAAGCCTTCCCTCGCAGTCCCTTAGGCTTTGAGCCCTGGGAAGCCTAGGGCATCACAGATGGCTGACAACTGTTTTGAGCTTGTGCCTGCTGGCCCTGAGCTAAGTATTTTGATACATTATCTCATTTAATCCTCACAACAACCCTGATGACAGTTAATGGTGTCTCCATTTCTGCTGGTGAGGAAAAGGGAGCTTAGAGTGGGGAGGGACATGTCCAAAGTCACAGGGGAAGGTGGCAGCTTGGTTGGGATGCTGGCCATCTGGCCCCAGGACCAAAGTTTTTTGTTCTTCTGACTGAGCCCCAGGTTTCCCAGGTAAAGGAACGCTTGCACCTAGATGTCACCTGCCCATAGCTGCTTGCTCGGGCCTGCCCAGGCTGGCATTCCTCAGAGAGGGGTAGGGACGGGACAGGAAGGCCAGTGCCTCAGGTGGCCTTAGGAAGGTGGCTGCAGTGTGGGTGGAGAGAGCAGGGGCCTCGGGGACCCCCTTCAGTCACTCCCAGCTGATGAAGATAGGGTGTCATGAGCAAGCTGTGTCATGAACAGGCCAAACATGTTTGTGTCCTTCCACAATGTCAGGATTCACTGAGTGACAATAAATCCACACCCCTTCCATCGGTGGTGGGTCACTGAATACTTGTGGGTCACCTGGTAGTCATAAGCTGGGCAAACACAAGTTCTTTAATTCCAATCTTAATTTCTAACATCTATAACACTGAAGTCACGTGTCACACTTCACACAAGTAGATACAGAGTTTACAGAAAGGGTGGGGGCAGCCCCAGGGACTCAGGAGGCTGAACTGAGGACAAAGGCAGAGAGCAGATGGGGATGCAAAGAGTCGCTGTAGGTGGTCAGGTCAGGAACCAGCCAAAGAGCTTGTTAGGGGCGTAGAGACGTCAAAACTCAAGGCCAAGGTCTGGAAGGATGGACTGTAGTCTCAGAGCCTCAACTTGGAGCATCAGCTTGGAGGAGGCCTGCGTAGTCGTCATGGGCAGGAGAAACTGCCCTCTGCTAAAGGCCCAGGTGTGGAGGTTCACCTCTGTGGCCATTTTCCTGGGAAGGCTCATGACGAAATGACCGGGTGAAAGGGTTAGGGTACTACCTAGTCGACCAGTCTTGGGGTGCTCCCCCTTTTGTGGCTCTTGAGTGAGGGGGTTGCACCATTTGGTGGTCTGGTGTGTGCAATAAGCTCATGGGCTTGGGTTTTCCTGTATGACTTTGACACTCCCTAGCAGCCAGGGCTCCTGGTTAAATTCGGCACATCCGCAGGTGGCATTCTTATTAGCTCGATTAGTTTATTGGACTGTACCTTAGGGTTGAGCCGGCCAGGTGGTGGGGGTTTACTTGTACACACAGGTGTAGGGTCATCCCACCTCAGCACTGAACTCAGAATGGAGTAGCTCGTGGCAAACCACGGCCTGACGAAATGGAGTCTCACTGCCTGAACACTGCGCTCCACACACCGTGGAGGGACCCAGGACGGGCACAGCCTGCCCTCCACACAGGGCTGCTTCACAGCGGCCTCCTGTGGCCTCTCAGTCTTAAAGACAAGATTCCCTCGGGGCACCCCACCTCTCTCCTGGGTCTTCTGAGGTGGAACTTCCCCCCAGGGATCCGGGAGATGACGGGGGCCTGCTCAGTGGGGCTGGGGTTGGGCTCAGGCTTCACTAGCCCAAGCCTTGGGGGCTGAAGAGAGGAAGGCTTTCTGGGCGTCTTTCCAGGGCCTCCCCTCAACTTCAGCCCAAGGAGCACTTGTTCTTCGGGGCAAGGGAAGCGGGGGCAACAGAGGTGGGCACTGCAGTGGGAACAGAGACCCCAGGGCCAGCAGCGGCTCTGAGGAGAGCTGGCCCAGATTCCCGCAGGCAGGGAGGCAAGATTCCCAGTAGCAGCTGACCCAAGAGCCTGTGATCTATAATTTATACCCAGCTCCTTCCAGAGAGGACCGGCGGCTGTCTGCCAGGGGATTTGTAACCGCAGGCTTTGCTTTGATGAGGCGAAGGGAGTTTCAGGTTGCCCCCTGAGTTCAGCGTTACTGAATTCAGACCATCTGTGAAGCCGTTTCCCACGTTGTAACTTCCCTCATGCTCACGGTGCTGTGCAGAGTCAGAATGGCTCTCTCCGTGGGACAGAGGGAGAAACCGAGGCTCAGAAGGTGACATGACTTGTCCTAGGCCCCATACCTGGGGGAAGGTGGGATCTAAATCGAGGCCTGTTTGCATGAGGCAGCGTCCGAGACTGTTCCCTGGGAAGCAGATGGTGATGATGTTGTGCATCTCTTTCTCATGTCTCTTCGGTGCTGACCGCCATTTTAGCCGTGACCCAGCTCTGCAAAGTACCCAGATGGTTCTAGCGCCCCCCTACCGAATACTGGCCCATATTTTGCTGGAATAATTTCCATCTAAAACATGGTTTTTGGCTACTCCTGAATGAATTGTCACTTGTTTTATAGAGGAAGGAGGGCAGGAGGTGAGATCTGACAGTCTGTATACTTTGTTTCCACCGATCCAGCCACAGGACATCTATTCCCCATCTCTCCAATTAAAGGGTTGGGTTGCAGGTGATGAAGTCTTAAGAACATGGCCCTGGAGTCTGATTGTCTGATTCAAATGCTGCTTCTGCCACTGGGTAATGTATTAGTCAACTTTGGGCTGCTGTAACAAATACCACAGGCTGGGTGGCTTAAATGACAGACATTTGTTTTCTCATGGTTCTGGAGGCTGGATGTCCAAGATCAAGTATTGGCAGAATTGGTGTCTTCAGAATTGGTTTCTACAAGCCTCTCCTTGGCTTGTAGGTGGCTGCCTTCTCCTTGTGTCTGTACACAACCTTTCCTCTTTATGTTTTCTCTTCCTTTTCTTATAAGAACACCAATTACATTGAACTGGGGTCCCACCCTGATGGCCTCATTTAACCTTACTTATCTACTAAAGGCCCTGTCTTGAATTACAGTCACATTGAGGGTTAGGGCATCCACATGGATTTGGAATAGGGGGGTAGGGGACACACAGTTCAATTCATAACAAGTGACCTTTTAGCCAAGAGCCTTCATTGCCTTATCTTTTATATGAGGATAGGAAACGTATCTGTTTTATAGTTTTGAGGGAGTTAAATGAGATAATACATGTACAGCAACACACGGCATACCGCAAAGCCTCACAGTGCTCTGTGTCATTATCACCATCACCACCACCATCATCTCTATCACCAGGACATGATTTTTATCAGTCTGAAAGGAAGGACAAAGACCCAGCTGGTTTCGGACCTGTGCGTTCTGCTTGTCATTTGTGGTATAAGGTTGTAGTCCTAGAAGATCAGACCTGCAAGGATCTTGACCTTGACACCAAACGCCGATTTTTACAAATGAAGAAACCAGGTTCACGGCTCAAATGGAATCAGAATGCTGGTTTCCTTCCCGTTTCCTGGTCTGGTATCCCCGTGGCTTTTTGAGACATCCAGTGATCACTAGGGGCCAGGAGAAGGCTCCCCTCCGTGGCGGCACCATGCACGAAGTATTTGTAGAATTCAGTTTTTTTCCCTCAATGTTTTATGGACCGTTTCTCTCATGTTTTAGCACAGTCACACCGTGAACGAATGGAAGTCATTAATTACAAAGTCCCTGTGCATGAGTCCCCAACCCCAGTTCTTCTCCATAAACACAGCATCCCCGTTCCTGCTGGGATGACATCAAACCCTTCCAAGGGCAGTCTCATGTTTCCTTGCCTTATCCAATCCATGCATCTGTGTCTCCCTGGGAATTTGGACGGAAGCATTAATCCACAGGGCTTCAGTCAGAAGGGCATAATGACTCACTTGTTTTGACAGTATAATATCTCTAGTTCAAAATACGCAGAAGCTGAAAAGCAAGAATCCCAACAAGGCCCGGCAGCTCTATCGATTTCCAACCCACCATCTTCCTTCCAAAGGAAGGATACCTGTGCTCCGGAATGGAACCCAGTGTGCTCCGTGGGGTGAACCTCTGGCCCAGTCCTCTCTCCTCTGCCAACAGTGACTGTAGGCCTGTGGAGGGATCCAGATGAGGAGGCCCTACCCCCACTTCAGGTCTCGAGATGTAGTTGTTTGGGGAAGTGAAGTCTGCAGCAGCTTGGAACTGGGAGGGCAAGGCCAACACAATAGGCCCTCAGAGGACGTGACCCAGAACCCTGACATCCTAGAGCCCTGATCCTGGTTGAACCTGCTACATCTAGTCTTGTCACATGAGATGCAAAGCACACTGTGTAAGCCAGGCTTATTGGGGTGTTGCTTGCAGTCAGAGCCACCCCACCAAAGACAAGGAGCAAAGAGCAAAAGCTACTGCCCATGCTCAGAACTGCAGCAGTCAAGGCCAGTGGACAGACATAGTGGGGACCAGGGCTTGTCAGTCCTCTTTGGAGACCAGCACTGTGGCGGGAATGTTCCTTGGTTGTCCTGATCCAAGCTCTTTCTTCGACAACTCTC